TAATAATTTTATAAATATTTTGTTCGTATGATTGCATTATATCACGACCTACAGTTTCTCACAACACGGATACTGTCGTTTTGTTTTGGAAAGAGTTTTCACTCACTAAACGACTTTACATGTAATTAAATTTAAACTCACCTTTTGGATTCAGTATACAATGTGTACTGTATCATTGTTGACATATTTGCTAAAATATTAATAAATAAATTTATATGAAATAGGACTCAATACACTGTTTCAGAATCTTCATCCGAAAATCTATTTAAAAAATATGATATAGGTATTTAATTTATAATAGTTTTATTTAATAAATAATTTAAATTTAATAGTTACTTGTTAACATTTAGGCAAGTTCTCGATGCTCAGGGGCAGAATAGTACTGACCCGTCAATTAGGTCTCTATGTGCTCAAGAATTATATCCCAAGCGCTATAATAGTGATCATGACTTTCGTTGGCTTCTGGATCCCCATCTCGGCCTACCCGGCCAGAGTGGCACTCGTAAGCACTTTTTTATTTACTCATAATATTTATAAATGTTTTAAAATTAAAATTATTATAAGAAATATCATAAATACAATGTACTTATAATATATAAACCTTATTTGATTGTAATGGATAGTATATAATTGCAATTAAATGTAGAATATTCTCTAAAATTAGGTCATAACAGCCCTATTGGCTCTCATTACACAACAGTATCAGAGCTCTCAANATCAGAGCTCTCAAGTGAACGTCTCGTATATAATAGCGATCAACGTTTGGATGATTATATGCATTGCATTTGTATTCTTGGCTTTAATTGAATACGCGTTTGCCATCACATATCACGACAACATCACCGCAAAGGCCAATAAAATTAAAGCTCAAAATCATAATCATGTGAGACATCAGATTTATTATCATTTCGATTTGATATTTCTATATATTTGTATCTCATGTAACAGAATATGAATGCGAATACGAATGAACCCAAAGATAATTTAAATGTGGACCCAAATGTCAATTCAAAGTGGTTTAAAGTGTATGCAATCACTGGCTTTAATAGTAAAGTCAATCGCATCGATCAGATCTCTCGATACCTCTTTCCATCGGGTTTTGTCTTCTGTGTTGTCATATATTTATTGAAATATGCAATGAATTAAAATGTATCCATATATTCATATATAATATAACATTATTTGTTATAAAATAAAACATTTAAATTATTTATTTATCAACAAACGGAATGCCGTTCAGTGACAAACACCGGTCCCCACACCGGTCCGGAAGATATGTTCATTAAGACAATCACTCAATAGATCCCGAGATTTGATAGGAATGAATACATTCATAAGAAGAACGGGTAGTTTAGTCAATGATAGTATAGTTCTTATTAAAATTAATAATTTAAATCTACAATATTATAAATCATATATTGAATTAAACTAATAATTTGTTTGAGTTTACGATTTAAATCTTGAACCAATTAGCTGTTTATATTTTGTCCATATACTATTGATTTCTAAATTTAAATCAAAATCTAATAAAAAAAATCATTTAATTCATTTTAATTCATACGAAAATTTTTAATTCATTTAATCTCTCGTTCTCGAGTTTAACATCTAATAAATATCATTAAATCATCACTTGTAAGTCTAAAGAGTTATTTAATTTCATATTTAATCCAAAAAATGATTTATTTATTTAAAAAATACAAATTTGTACAGTTACATTATGTATTAATGTACAGATAGACTGTAGGATCCAATCCACGGGTCAATCCTTAGAATGTTTTCAAATATGATATGAGTTGTGAAAGTTATGGAATATAAAACCCAATGTATTATTGAATGCATGCATGCATTGAATATGGCATTTATAAATACATTGTTTGTTCCGTTTGTTGTCTGGGTCAATTTAATTCAAATTATTATTACTATATTCTTATCATTTGAAATTAAACTCTTAGACTCTAAAAAAATGCATTCATTGGTTACTCTTTTATTTTATATTTATACGATCACAAGCATTGGTCACTCCGTAGTATATGATAACACAATTGGATCCGATGAATGGTTACAAATGCCTCAATTTGGTCCCAAAGATTTCTGTCAACTCGGAGCCATTGACTACATTTTCAATTACAATCACAAAGTGTGTGTGACTTATAGGAACTCTATGTGGACTTACGACCAAATAATTGCCGGACAGACGGATCAGCCTTTGAATCAGGAAAAGACTTTTGGTATTAATTGACATAAACTCATAGAGTATTTATTAAAAGAATTATAATATTGATAATAAACAGGCCATCAATCGGTCACTTCCATACATATCACTAAAGTCCCCAAATGTCTCATCAATGCATCCAATTGTATAGACTATCAAAAGGCATTGAATATGTCTTTTTTGATTATATATTCAGATAGTTATGAATTTATAAGCGAAAGACTGGACTCTAATGGAGAGATTGTTACAAATCCTGAGGATATGCCGTGGAATATAAGTAGTAATGCATTTGATATCTGGCCACACATTATGTCAAACAGTTTGGGA